TGTGGGGTGCGAGTCCGTCAACAGCAGCTCTCAAGGAGGAGGAAGAATCGAGAAGAGCCTCAGTAAGGAGGCATTTCAGGGTGAGGGGGACAGCCCCCACCAAAGCATGGAGGCCTCGGAGCAGGGGAAGGGGTGGGGGGACAGCAGGTGTGCAGTGTTAAAAATTGTGGTAAGATACACATAACAGAAAATCTGCCGTCGTGACCATCTTTAAGCACACACTTCAGTGGCCTTCAGCACATTCACAGTGTTTTTTGCAGCCATCACCACCATCTGTCTCCAGAACTTTCCCGTCTTCCAACCCAACCACTCTGCACCCATCGGATGTGAATTCCCTGTGCCCCCAGCCCCTGGCCCTCCCCGTTCTCTTTCGGCCTCTATGAACTTAACACTCTTAAGGACCTCCTATCCGTGGACTCACACAGCATTTGTCCTTCTGTGGCTGGCTTCTGTCCCTTAGTGTCACGTCCTCAGGCTCACCCGCGTACGGCATTTCATTTATCATTATTAATAAGGGGAAGAATCACCACATTCTGCGTTTTGCCTGCATGCCAGGCCCACGCTAAGCTATTTGCACACGTGATCTCCCGGGATCCTCATTCTCCGATTTCGAGGCAAGGATACAGATTCGCTTGCCATTTTGCAGATGGGCAGTCTGAGGCTCGGAGAGTTTCAACGGTGTGCCCAGGGCCCCACAGCCAGGCGGTGGGGAAGCTGAGGTTCACACGCGGGTCTAACCAATTCAGAGTGCCCGCTTGTAGCCACCGGTCCATACCCAGCGCCAAGGACCCGGAGTACAGGACACAGTGCCCAGCACAGAGCAAGCGCACTGTGAGGGTAAAGCTGCTTTGGCGATTGCGATCATTTATTTGCTCGTGCTGGTGCCGTGCTTGAGTTGGGGCTGCAGGAGTGGACAGCCCGCAGCTGGACCCCACCCCGGTGCCTGGGAGCCCCAGAGGGCACGTGGAGTGTGCCGGCAGCCTGAACCTGAATTTGCTAGAAGGCCGGGCAGTTTGGACTTCCCTGTGGATGGTGGGGCCTCTCGAGGTCTTTGCAGGGAGCAGGGCCTGCCCAGGCTGGCAGGGCTCGGCTCTCCTCTGCCTCTTCCTGCCCCTGTTTCGGCTCCCGCCACTGCCTGCCCTCCGACCGCCACCCTCATTGCCCGGGAAATTCAGGGCTAGCGAGAGCCCTAGGCCCATGGGGATGCCGTGGGATTAGAAGCCATTTAGAACCTCCTTCCCCCTCCCCACTACTCTCCCGCCTGCCTGAGCCTTGCCTTCCTGTTGAATGTCACCCTTAAATGACAAGGTGACAGGGGCCAGGTGGGACACACAGACTGCAGATTGCACTCCGCCACCACCAGCAAGTTCAAATCTGAGCGCCAGGCCCCCACCTCCTTGTTGTACCCCTGGAGAGGCTCTGGGAAGTCCTTAACTCCAAGAAACAGAGTTAATCCGTGCTGGGCCAGGACGAAACCCCACTGCCTGCTTCCCAGCCCTCAATCTAATGCCAGAGATGCTGCTTTTTACCCCAGTGGCCGTCCACATCCCAGCGTAGGTGTACCTGTAAATGTGTGCTCTTGGTAAATCAACAATGGTATGTGGGGGGAGCCAGCAGGAATCACGGGGACCTTGTGCGCACACACTGGCATTGGGAAGTGGACTCGGGATGCACACAGAGCCTTCTTTTTATCAGCAACAAAGATGAACAGTTGCCCAGGGCTGCCCAGGGGGAACGTTTCAGAGCCTTCACGTGAACCCGGTGGGGTGCCCCGGCCAGGCACACCGCCCTCTCTGGGTCCCTTGCTTTCCTGGTAGATTGCGGGCAGTCAGGATCCTGGAAACTCTGGGCTGGCAAGGGTCTCCGGGATGGGGGCTGAACAGGCCTCTGGGGCCTGCAGGGGAGCTGGCCTGTGCTGAGGCCATCTGTGCCCCTCTGCAGGGTCACTGGACACCCACCAAGCCCCAGCCCAGGCCCTGAACGAGACCCAGTGGGCACTGGAGCGCCTGAGGCTGCGGCTGAGCCCGCCGGGGGCCCTGCAGGGGAAACTGAGGCTGTTGGAGCAGGAGTCCAAGCAGCAGGAGCTGCAGATCCAGAGCTTCGAGAACGACCTCGCGGAGATCCGTGCCGACAAGCGGAACCTGGAGGCCATTCTGCAGAGCCTGCCCAAGAGCTGTGCCAGCTGGCGGTGAGGGCCGCCCAGACCCCCCGCTGCGGCCCTAGCCCGGGCACGCGCACGCACCTCACAGGCGCACCCGCCACAGCCCGCTGCTCGGTGTGCCCACCCCAAGGGGATCCTCACGTCGCCTTCCAAGTCCATGCCTGCATCCCCTCCGTTCCCGCCAGCGTGGAGGTACATACACGGTTCACCCAGGCGGCCGTGCCCACCACCATCGGCGCACGCTCCCGTGCCGTGACGCACAAACACGCACACCGCAGTGTCAATAGCACGTCCACGATACCTGTGGACACAA